CGGCACTGGCTCGCAGGCACTACGTAGAGGGGCCACTTGATGAGAAATGTGGCGGGTGTATGACTCAAGCACCGCTGGAGGAAAGTGATCAGGCTCCCCTGGGGGTACACCCCAAGTCAACCAGTCACCTCCCTCCCCGATGCAAGGGAGCGTCACAGACTCCCGAGCAAAGGTGCAGCACTTGAGCCAAAATGGCTACTCTCTCTCTCTCTCTCTCTCTCTCGCTCTCTTGCTTTCCTCCCTCTCTCTCTCTGTCTCACATCCACGCACGTGCGCATCGATTGAACGTCCTTCCAGGATTTGGCACATGCTGTCATGAGAGAACGTTTTATCCTGCATTCCCATCGGCGAAAGAGTCCAGACTTTCCAACCTGAAGAGCCTGTACTTTTGTATGAACACAAAAGCCCCTTCTTCAATATGCCGGTGTCCGGATTGCCTTCGGAATGTCCTGATTGTGCACATATAGCTACAAATAGACACGCGAACATATACGATACATTGCATTACATGGACTCATGATATGTCTGTGTCTATGCGCACACCTGCAACATACAGCATGTGCAGGCCTGTGTATATCCACATATGACGAATCTAAAGAAACAGTCCTTCCCTCAACGGATGCAGTGGTAAACCGCTTGCTCAGCCATGATGTTCCAGCGGATTCCAGGGCTGACCGAGACTCCCACAACTGCGGCACACTAGCCTCAGTCACGACTTCACAGAAAAAGGACCATCCAAACACTGTGTAGCCCTTTCTGTATACTGAAACAATGACAAATAATTATCGCGAGAGACAGAGAGAGAAAGTGACAGATACGGAGAAGGGGGCCCCAATCATGCGATTAGGCTTCTGGGGAGTATCATGCTATAGTTATCATAAGGAACCCCCAATATAGTAGTGGTAATCGCCACCTATTTAGGCCCCGATATCAACACCCGACGTCAAGCAGCCCGCACATCCACGCGATGCATTGTAGGTGCAAAAGTCGCGGCAGCAAGGACCTCACGGAAGACCCGTAGCCGATGCCTGGTCAAGAACTAGAGGAACAATATAGAGCCCGGCTTAGGGTTTAGGATAGCGCTTACTATGGGAGCCTCTATGACAAGAAGAATGAGAATGGGGCTTCGAGGTAGGGACCACCAGGGGGTACATCTTCGAGGGCTTCATTTAGCTCTTCGCTTCGGTACAGCCTCGACTTCTTGGGCTCGACGGTAAGAATCCAAAAACGATTCGCACCGCCTAACCCATTTTTACCCTAAACCGGTCTTCTTTGTAGGGGTCGTGCAACAGCAATCCTCAGACTCACACTTCGGCTACGCACTTATGACAAAGCCAGGAGTCAATCATCCAAGTGTGCCCAAGGTCCCAGTGAACTTCACTCCCGCGCAAAATCTGGGCCTTTGGTATGGCTGCTGCGTACATCCTAAACTCCGAACTCGAAACCAAAAAGCCCGGGGGGGGGGGGGGGGGAANNGAAATACTGACACAACAATCGGGAAAACTCCGTCCCTAAACCCTAAACAGTGGACTCCAAAGCACTGAAGCTCAATGGTTGATTGATCTCCGACACCTCTGATATTCCAAGAACACCCGAGTTGCATCGCTAAGCTGTTGTGCGGGTAATCGCTCCTCGTGCCGGAGAGCTTGGGATAGGCCCAAGGGTTACAATAATAATGGTTCCTTTAAGGTTTCCTGTAAGGGTTTCTAAAAGGGGTCGATAAGGGTTCGATAATGCTTTCGACTCTCAGGCTCGGTCGGCTTCAGGCGACTTGTGTCCATTCTTGCTGCAGTGACATGAGGCAGACTGCTGCGCAATCCACGGCATGCAGCGCATGATAGCCAAATAGCACAAACAAAGAAGCAAGCAACCAAATATGTATGTGTGTATGTGTATATGTATATACATACGTATATATATATATATATATATGTATATATGCATATATATATATACACGTATTATATACAAGTGAGCAAGTAAGTCTGTGTCTGTCTGTGTGTGTGTGTGTTTGTTTGTGGCGGTGGGGGTGGGGGGTATAGTTGCGGGTGCGGGTGTGGATGGAGGTGTCGATGTGCGTGTGCATGTGCGCATGCACACACTTATGTGCAAGGACGATCAGCGAAACTGAAGATGAGTCCGAGGCTCTCTGCACCCAGGTGCAGGGCGTTGCTGACCAAAGAGACGGCGGAGTTACCTCCCAAGACCTTTGAAGGAAGCAGAGCTTCGAATGTGAGGCCGAGCATCTCTCACCACCTGAACTCTCCTCTTTGGAAGCCCCGTCTAAGGCAGAGGAATAAATCAAAACCTCAACCCATCATGAAGGTGGTCCGCTTCAACATGCTCACTACTGCTGCACCTGTGAAGTCAAACATTGCATAAATCAGCGATCAAGACTGTGCCTGTAGTGCTTTGGCTGTAGCTCGCTGCAAGGCTTTGTTTAAAAAAGGCCGTGCGGTTCCAAGTCTTGGTCAGTTTAGGCTGCTGAGTTGAACAGAGGCATCTGACAGAGAACCCCTGTACCAGGGCTTGGGCTAATAGTTAGGGCTTGACGGTGGTGTAGGGCTTAACGGCAGAAGCTTTACGATCTTAGAAAACATGACTCGAACAGAGTCCTGTGCTGTAGGGGCTTGAGCTGTAGGCACTTTGCAGCCAGGCAAGCCAAAGCACTAGATCCTCCCATGGAAACTCGATCCACCACTCGCACCTCGCGAACTGCCAAGCCATGTTCTTTTGTCTGGGTGTCGGGTTGTGACGTTATTTAAACCAAACCCCGAAACTCTTCGTATACATGGAATACGGCTCTTGATGGGGAGACTGCCCACGGACTAGAGACAACCCCAAGGAGAAGACGCTGTCGTGAATCCGGAGGTTGACAGGAAAAGCCCAAATCCCCACGGACAAAACATCTTACCTCAGCCACACCACTCTGTGTGGGCATGCCCGCAAGCACCCCGAGTCCACATTCGCGATCCCAAGATGCAGCCACGGCTTCAGTCCACAGGAGGTTGTGACAGTCTTAAGTTACAAGACGCATCGAACCACAACCCGCAGGTCCTGAAATCAAGAATAACTCTAACCGAAGTCGTCGACTCTTGACGCAACTCCGCTCTTGAAACCAAGGTTGAAACTTGAAAGCTTCGTTTGAAACCTACCTGGAGTAACCCCAAGCCCTGAACTGTCGGCCCCCTCAATCCTAGCAGCAACCCAGGCACTTAAGTGGCGCATGATGGTCAGGCCGTGCCCCCAGGCTCATGGCCCATCGGGTCAGGGCCACTTTCCCTTCGCGCGAACAGTCAAGTTGGTGCTTGTGCATGAAATATGCGGGCCTTACGAATCGAGCAGGGTCTTGGGGTACTTTAAAACCGAAAACTTAAACTTATATTATAAAGTTATAAACGTTGTAAAGCTAACTATGCATTTTAGTGAATTAGGCAGGGGCGGGCGAAGGCTCGGTCATGTAGATCGCACCAGAGAAGGGCTGCAGACTTTGTGAGGTTCGGAGGTCGCGTTCAACTGCCTTTGCTGTTGCCATCCCCGGGCCCTTACATTACGGTCTTGTCAAGTGCTTGGGAATTACAACATGGGTAGTTTTCGAAATTGCTAGGGGCCCTTTGTAGGTCCGAAAAATAATCCGGCCCCCTGATAAAAAGGACCCTATAAGGGACTCTAATGCAGGAGAAACTGGCAATGCTCGACAGAAGCATCTCATTCCGAAACCTCCAGTGCACGCAAAAGTAGTGGCGACGAATCGTGGCTAGAACGTTCCGCATCATTCGGCGGCTGGTTGCTGATCCCGCAGCCCTAGGCACCCCAAAGCCCCGAAACCATAAACGGAACCCTAAACCCTAAATCCTAAACCCTCCGTCGGACAGCGAGGTGCCTGAACGACGACTCTGACTATCGATCTGTTGCTGCAGCTTTGGCCGAGTGCATACATCCGATTACTTTCGAACACGTTCCTGTTTCGACTTCAAGTTGCAACATCGACAGTGTACATTGTCGATCTGTCTTTCTTATCTGTTTTTGAAAACATCTATCTATCTATCTATCTATCTATATATATATATATATCTACACGCTACGATGCACCCCCTGCTTCATCTCAGTTGCGCACACATTCAGAAGCTGCGGCGTTCGGAGAACTTGCGGCGACAAAAAGAAGCCATCAACCCTCAAGGCCGACTTCCAGAAGTGCCAAGGGTCGTTGAAACATCCATTCAGGGGCCTCCCAGAGATTGCCTGCAGAAGGCAAAGAGGTTGCGGGGTTTACCGCTTTATGGCTTGTGGAAGTAGTGGTGCAGGCGTTGCTTTGGTCTGAGAGGGTCTTCAGGCTGATGGGGTACAGTCAGAGGCCCACAGCATGCCACCCACGGAGAGAGTGAGCGGTGCGACCTTTAATCTTAGTCTGACCTGGGCCTAATCCGGCAGGGACTGCGGAAGAAACGATTGTGAAAACAACCGGTCCTGCACTTGATTGGTCAGGGACATGGAAAATGAAAGAAAAACAACGCAGCGAATGCTGAGGATCCATGAAGACACACACCCACCCACCCCCAGTCACCCACCCACCCAAACACGCGCACATACACAGACAAACAAAAAGTTGCCTCGATAGTCTGGCTCCCGCCCCACAAATCCAAGACATACATGTGTAGCCACATATGCACTGCAAAATACATACTACTACAGAAGCAAGGTCGCTTTGACACACAATGTAGGTATAAATATATGTGTGTGTATATATATATATATAACCATGAGCGTGCATATGCACATGCGTGCACACACATGGATTTACATGCGTACATGCATGCAAGCATGCATACAAAGATAGGTAGGTAGATAGATAGATAGATAGATAGACAGACAGATAGATAGGTAGGTAGGTAGGTAGGTAGATAGATAGATAGATTAGGTAGATAGATAGATAGATAGATAGATAGACAGATAGATAGATAGATAGATAGATAGATATAGATACACACATAATCACATACTTGCGTACCTACTTTGTGTACATGTGTGCATTCGTACAAAAGACACACACGCACACATACACACACAAGCACAGCAAAATCAAACACAAACACAAACACACACACGCACACACAGAGACACACACACACACACAGACAAACAAACAGACAGACCGACGGACCGACGGACAGACAGACAGGCAGAGAGAGAGACAGACAGACAGACAGACAGACAGACAGACAGACAGACAGACAGACAGACAGACAGACAGACAGACAGACAGACCGACGGACAGACAGACAGACAGACAGACAGACAGACAGACAGACAGACAGACAGACAGACCAACAGACAAACAGAACGGTCGGACAAACGAATGGATGCCATGTCATACGAATAAGCGGTCACAATATGGCGTGGTGTGCATATCGGTCGTGTCGAGCCATGTGCAGAAATTGACCCCCTTCGGATCATGCCCAGAACTATCTGTACCCTCAGTCGTAACCACAAACACCTGCTTGGCTCAACCATTTCCACATCCTTCTTTCCACTCAGTTACTCAGATCAAGATCGAGAGTCCTCGGTCCCGAGCTCCTCTAGATCGACGAAATGCTGGAAATACCGCACGACTACTTTGCAAAGATCCCCACATGCCCTGCCCTCCATTACTAAAATTGATCCTGTCTACCCTTCTTCCGCGGCCTCCTCTCAAGGCTTTCATGACCCCATCCAGCCTGAGAGAATTGCAAGGAGCGGCGTTCCCCACGTGTCATTGCGCTGCTGCCAGTCGAACAAGAGGCTTCCTGAGCTTTATATAGCTGTTTGAGGGTGGGGTGGAGGACGACTGCGGGTACCTCGTTCAACATGCATATAGGGGTCTGAAAGTTGGAAGGTCCGATACCAAGTTGGCGCAAACAGCGTCGAATACACTCAGGTTCAGAAGAACGAAGTACTCAATCTGTGTGCATGGCGCCGTGCACCTGCATGTAAACAACGAGAACCTGTTTCAGCAAGAGTTGGACCTGTTCTTGCAAAGGGGTCAGTGCAAGCGAACATGCGGTTTCTCTGCTCAGTGTGGCAATCCCTGGTCATCGGCCAGACACACCTGGTATCACTACTGACTTTCGTACGACGTATGTGGGTAGTACTGGTGGTGCTTCACTTTTACTCACGTTCTGAACCATGTGGTGGCTCAGGGGACAAGCCGATACATGATCTTCTGGTGGCCTGAACCCTAAATGAATCCTCAAAGGGCAGATTGAGGCTCTTCCTGTGCTCTTACTGTAGATCGTCACGCTGGTGCCTTCGGAGCCCTCTCCACTTCCTGAAATCCTAAAACCCACCTGTTTCAAGCTTCGGAAAGAGAGCTGGAAGCGACGAAGCTGAAACTTTGGCCCGATGTCAAAGGCGAAAGACTTACAAAATACAGGTGAAGCGGGTGATCTATGTTTCATATGCCAAGAGGCGTTGCCTCACTGAGATCTCGTCTCCGTTGTAAAGCCAGCTAAACACCTGGCCAGGCGGACACTCGGTCTTATATGGCAAGGCGCTGTCTTCACTTGCAAAAATCGCAAACCTAACGTTGTTGAATCCAAGAAAATAAGAAACAAAATCATGCCTGTGGGTCCCTGGGTCTCGAGCCCTGAAACTGAGCTGATACACGGATTAGGATGGTTTAAGCTGGTGTCGGTCATATCAGACATGACGCGGGAGGTCACGCCCTGCAACATTCGCAGGAGGCGGACAGTAGGCTAGGAACTGCTGCGCTCCGCTATGACCGCACATAATGGTGGTTTTGTGGCGGTGGGCCCGTTAAGTTTGTCTACGCTGGCCTCTAAATCTGGGGCGACATAGCCGATTGATGCAAAGAGGATGCACACATCACTAAATGGATGTCGACTTTTACTTTTCCCTCGGACATCTTCGACCCTCTCTGCAGCAGCGGCAGTACCAACAACAGTAGCAGTAGCAATAGCAAAGCAGCAGCAGCAGCAGCAGCAGCAGAAGCAGAAGCAGAAGCAGAAGCAGAAGCAGCAGCAGCAGCAGCAGCAGCAGCAGCAGCAGCAGCAGCAGCAGCAGCAGCAGCAGAAGCAGCAGCAGCAGCAGCAGCAGCAGCAGCAGCAGCAGCAGCAGCAGCAGCAGCAGCAG